AAAGAGGATTACAGACCAATCTTCCTCCCTAACATTGATGCAAAAATACTCAATAAAATACTGGCAAACGGAATCCAAGAATACATAAAAAGAATAATCTAACATGATCAAGTAGGCTTCATCCCAAAGATGCACCACCATGTAAACAAACTGAAAGAAAAAACCCTAACGATCATCTCATTAGATGCTGGAAAAACCTTCCACAAAATCCAGCACCCCTTTATGATAAAGGTCTTGGAGAGAATAGAGATACAAGGAACATACCTATACATAATAAAGGCAATATACAGTAAGCCAACATCAAACTAAATGGAGGGAAACATAAAACAATTCCACTAAAATTAGGAACAAAAAATGCTATCCATTTTCTCCATATCTATTCAATATGGTAATTGAAATTCTTGATAGAGCAATAAGACACCAAAAGGACATCAAGGGAATACAAATTGGAAGGGAAGAAGTGAAACCTTTGTTATTTGCAGATATGATTGTATACATAAGTGACCCCAAAAATTCTACCAGGGAACTCCTACAGCTGATAAACACCTTCAGTAATGTGTTGGGATACAAGATAAAGTAAAAAACAATCAGTAGCCCTCCTATATACAAATGATAGGGCTGAGAAAGAAATCAGGGAGACATTACCCTTTACAAATAGTCACAAATAACATAAAATATCTTGGAGTAATTCTAACCAAACAAGTAAAAGTCCTATATGACAAGAACTTTAAGTCTTTGAAGAAAATATCACAAAATGGAAAGATCTCCCATGTTCATGTACAGGTAGGATTAACATAGTAAAAATGGCAATCTTGTCAAAAGCAATCTACAGATTCAATGCAATCCCAACACAATTATCCTCAGACCTTGAAAGAACAATACTCAACTTCATATAGAAAAACAAAGAACCCAGGATAGCTCAAACAACCCTGTACAATAAAGGAGGCACCACCATCCCTGACTTCAAACTCTACCATAGAGCTACAGTAATAAAAACAGCTTGGTATTGGCATAAAAACAGGCATATGGATCAATAAAATCAAATTGAAGGCCCTGATATTAATCCACATACCTATGAACACCTTATGTTTGACAAAGAAGCCAAAATTGTACAATGGAAAAAAGAAAGCATCTTCAACAAATGGTGTTGGCACAAATGGATGTTGGCATGTAGAAGATTGCAGATAGATCCATATCTATCACCATGCACAAAATTCAAGTCCTAGTGGATCAAAGACTTCAACATAAATCCAGTTACACCAAAACTAATAAAAGAGTAAGTAGAAATAGCCTTGAATGCATCGGAACAAGATACCACATCCTGAACATAACACCAGTAGCACAGACACTGAGGTTGACAATTAATAAATGGGACCTCCTGAAACTGAAAAGCTTCTTCTGTAAGGCAAAGGACACTGTCAATTAGACAAAATAGCAGCCCACAGAATGGGAAAAGATCTTCACCAACACCAACATCACTGATGACAGCTTATGCTGGAGAGGATGTGGAGTAAGAGGAACACTCTTCTACTGGTGGTGGGAGTGCAAATATATACAGCCACTTTGGTAATCACTATGTCGGTTTCTCAGAAAAAATGGGAATCAATCTACCTCAAGACCTATCTATACGAACATTGGGTATATACCCAAAAGATGCTCAGTCATACCAGAAGCACACTTCCTCAGCTATGTTCCTATCAGGATTATTTGTAATAGCCAGAACTGGCAAACAACCTAGATGTTCCTCAACAAAAGAATCGATAAGGAAAACGTGATGCATTTACACAATGGAGTATTACTCAGCTGCAAAAAAAATGACATCATGAAATTTGCAGACAAATGGATGGAACTAGGAAAAAAAAACATTCTGAGTGAGGTAACCCAGAACCAGAAAGACAAACATGGTACATACTTGTAAGTGGATAAAGTACAGGGTAACAAACCTACAACTCATAGCCCCAGAGAGGCTAGATAACAAAGAGGTCCGAAAGAGTAATGCATGGATTTCCCTGGGAAGAGGAAATAGAAGTGATCTCCTAGGTAAACTGTGGATGGGGTGGGAGTTGGGCATTCCGTGTGTGTGAGGAGGGTTGGAGGCAGGACAGAGGGGGTAATGAAATAGATATCTTGATGGGGGCATTTTGGGGTTAGGGAGAAATCTGGGTGCCAGGGAAACTCCAAATAATCCACAAGGATGATCCAAGGTAAGACTCCTAGCAATAGTGGTGAGGATGCCTGAACTGGCCATCTACTGTATTAGATTGGTGACTACCCTAATTGTCATTGGAGAATCTTAACCCAGTAACTGATGGAAGCAGAGGCAGAGATCCACACCAACTAGGCACTGGGCCTAGTTCCAGGAATCCTCCTGAAGAAAGGAAGGAGGAATTATATAAACCAGGGATTCAAGATCATGAAGGGGAACTCACAGAGAGCTGACCCGAGATGGTGGGAGCATGTGGAATCTGGGACAACAGTTAGGGAGCCTGCATGGGATTGATCTAGGCCCTCTTCATGTGTGTGACAGTTGTGTAGCTTGGTCTGTTTTTAAGGCCCCTCGTAGTGTGATCTGGACCTGACCCAGGCACTTATCTGCCTTTTGGGAACCTGTTCCCCATGCTGGATTACCTCATCCGGGCATTGATACGGGGAGAGAAGCTAGGTCCTACCTCAATTTGATGTGCCATGCTTTGTTCAAGCCCATGGGAGGCCTACAATTTCCTGAATGGAGATGGCAGAGGAGTGGATGGGGATGGGACTCAGACAGGAAGAGGGGAGGGAGGGGAAACTGGTCAGTACATAAAATAAATGAAAAAAGTTATTTAAATAAAAGAATAATCCTGTTTCACTCCTGAAAGTAAATTGAGGAACAATAAACCTGAATGTGACTGAAGAAAAAAATAAAATAAAACCCTATTGATTATAACAGTGACATCATTGCTTGGGTCCATTAAGTTATTCCAAACCTATCTTCAGCCTTTTTAGAATTCACATATTTATAAAATGTTTGTGTCTTTGAGTTAATATAATTAAAATAAAATTTATATACAAACCCTAGGCTATACAAGAGCTAGAAAGCACTTTTTATAAAAAAGGTTTTATTTATTTGTGAGTGTGTTTGAGCCACATGTGTGCAGTGCCAAGGAGATCAGAAAAGCTGGAGTTACAGGCAGTTTGTGAGCCACCTTGAATGACAGGAACTGCACTCAGGTCCTTTGGAAGAGCAGCAAGTACTGTTGACCACTGAGCCACTTCTCCCATCACAGCTAGAAGAATGGTGACAAAAAAGTGGGAAAATTCTGTACAATAGATATGAAGGCTTATTATACAGTTATAGTAATAGAGTTCCACAGTCACAGACAGACAGTAAACTCCGTCTGGGCAGATGTATACAAATTGCCAACTATCTTTTGACACAAAACAAAGAAGAAATTCAATGGAGGAAGGACAGAACTGTCAATAAATGATGCTGAGGCAATTCAACATTGTAATGGCTATTATCAGTTTTCAACTTGATTATATTTGGAATTAACTAAGACCCAAGTGGCTGGGTATACCTGTGAGGGATTACATTTTCTTAATTAAATCATTTGAAATGGAAAGACCCACTTTTAATCTGGATCTTTCAGGTGGGAAGATCCACCTTGAATCTGGGCCACACCTTCTGTTGGCATCCTGTATAAAGGACACAGGGAAAAAAACCAGCTTGCTCTCTTTGCCTGTTTGCTATCCTGTTAGGAAGCCCATTTCTTCACTAACACCAGAGCACACTTATTTGGGTGCTCCACTGTATACTGTGGAGCCACTGTATACTGAAGGTCAGCTTTCACATCCAGCCTCATGGACTGAACAACTGCTGGATTCTTAGACAGCTGTTGTAGAATATTATTTTAATATCTACAATTGTTTATGCTGTGGAACATTTATTTAATGATGCAAAGATGTGTTGCATTCTTTTATGTTGCATTTGTTTAACTCTGTGAAGCTGTATTACTGTGCCTGTCTAAAACACCTGATTGGTCTAATAAGGAACTGAGCACTGTACAACTGATAGCAAGGTGGGAGAAAGGATAAGAGGGGCTGACAGTAAGAGAGAATAAATGGGATAAATCTGGGAGGAGAAAGAAGAAGCAAGAGTGAAAGTAAGATGTACAGAAGTAAGAAAAGGAAAAAGCCCAGAGGCAAAAGGTGGGTGGGGTAGTTTAGGTTAATGAAAGCTGGCTAGAAATAAACCAAGCTAAGGCCAGGCACTCATAAGTAATAATAAGCCTCTGTGTGTGATATATTTGGGAGATGGGTGGTGTCCCCCCAAATAAGAGCAAAGATCAAAGAGCAAAAAAAGTAAAGAGTAAAAAAAAAAAAAAAACAACCAACAACAGACAG